ATCCCAGACTCCTGATACTCACAAGGAGTACGTATCAGGTGTTCCACAAACCCTCGGCCTTTGCACCAAGCACTGGGGGTCCCACAGCAACAGGGACCTTCTCAGAGTGGCAGCCCCAGCCAGCAGCCCAGGACCTGCTGTCGGGACCCAGTTCCTGCAGGATCCGTCACTCAGTGCTCACCCAGGACGGGCCCAGCAACTTCCCCATGGCCTTTGCTCCCAGACAAACTGAAGGGCTCAGCATACAGGAGACTGAGGACGCGCCTGGACCCGGTGGAGGATGGGGTCTGGACACAGTCCATGGGAGCCCCCGACGAGACGACGAAACGCGCCCCACCTCCTGGTACTCGGGGTAAGGAAGGTGCATCTGCCCTGCTGGTGGGCGGGCCATCTTTACTCCAGGGCAGTGGGCAGGAGGGCCGGCTACATGAGGAAAGCAGGGGTAGGGACCCGGTGCTGCACACCTCAGTGGTCGCCGCTGACGGAGCAGTGCCGGGGTAGGCAAGGAGGGGCTGGGGTGGCTCGGGAGTGACTGTGACCCCGTTCCAGGTCTACCCTCGGACACTCGGGGGCGGGGCAGGCACCATGTGCTTTCACCATCCACCCTGCTGTTCCCACCGCCTTCCTGAAGTTTGAGAAGGCGATCCTGAGTCCACACGTGGGGACCAAGGCCTCGTGCCTGCCCCATTCCCACAGGAAGCTGACACCCACCGAGGGGCCATTCCCACGCTATGCCCACTACAGCCCGTGGAACTGAGTCCAACACAGTACTGAGGGGCCCCAAAGGAACCAAAAAGCAGCACTGCAGGAAGAGGCGGCCCCTTGAAAGGCTAGACCAAGACCAGTGGGCCGGCAACTGTGCTCTGAGCATCTGCCCCAGAGAAACACACACGCGTCCACACAGAAACGCATCTGCCCCGGAGAAACGCACACGCATCCACAGAGAAACGGTTCACAGGTGTGCAAGGCTGCACGGTTCACAATGGCCAGTAGGTGGAGCCCACCTGGTGTCCACTGAGGGCAGCTGTGTGACGCAGTGTCCACGCAGCGGTTGGGGTTCAGCCACACGGTGGAGGAGGCAGCGCCACGTGCTACCGCGTGGGTGCACCTTGTGGAGGCAACGCTGAGGGGAGGGGCAGGAGTGGAAGGCCACGGTGCGCCCAGGTCCGTTTCCACAACACATCCAGACCAGGCAAAGCTGTAGAGCCCGGCAAGGTGACCGCTGCAGGGTGTGAGGAGAGGCTGGAGTGGGCTCAGTCTCCTCTGGGTATGGGGCGATGAGCGATGAAGTGATGAAAGGGATCGAGGTGATGGTCATGTAATTCTGGGACTGCTCAAAACCACTGAGCTGTGGACGTTGGGTGAATGCAGGGAGCACCCACCTTCTGCCAAGCTCACCTGGTGCACCCCAACCCTGCTGAGGCCAGCTAAACCAATCTGGCCAAAATAGCCACACCTCTTTCTAGAAGCCTCAAGAGCTGATGGGCGGTGAGGAGGCAGTAGAAGCAGGGTGACGGGACACTGCCCACGAGGGGGTTCTGCAGTCGTGGGACCCAGGTGGCACCCAGGGCCGCTGAAGGCCCTCTGAGACAGCCGTGGCGAGTGTGAGCTGGAGTCACCTGGCAATTGCGGCAGAGACGCAGACCTCTCCCAGCCAGAGGCCAAGAGTGGCCTCGTGGTCCCCCCCCCACCCCGAGTACCAGCTAGGGTAGGGTTAGACTCCTGCTCAATTAAGACAGTGCTCCAAAGAGAAGGAGCCCGCCGCTCTGCAGGCGGTCTTCTGCCCTCATTCGTCCACTCCTGGTAAAGCCAGAGTGGCTGAGAGACAAGATCAGGGGCCCGGCAGGCACCAAGGCTGCACCCAGGATAAGGCTCTGGAGGAGCCCACGGCGCTGGAGGACCTCACGGAGCTGCAGGACCCCACAGCGCTGGAGGATCCCACGGCGCTGGAGGAGCCCACGGAGCTGCAGGAGCCCACGACGCTGCAGGACCCCACAGCGCTGCAGGAGCCCAGGGCGCTGGAGGAGCCCAC